TGAGAATCAGAGACTTAAAGAAGCTACTAACACCACGTAAGCAAACTGCATGTTTTTGCTTTACCAAGTAATCTTATAGTTTATCATTAAGAGTATTCTCAAACCAACAAACCAAAATCCACCAATCAAAAAACACCTGAAATAATACTGCCAACTTTTGTCATTGTGACAAATACCACAGAAAATCATCCTAAAAGGCACAATGGCTTATTTTGGCCCACCATTTTCTATATTTCAGCCCTTCTGTATCAATATTTCTGGCATGTGGCAAGGCAGAAAGTCAGAGCATGTGGTAGAGCAAAGTCACATACTTCATGGCACAAGAAATAGAAAAGGTCAGAGATCCAATGTCAAGTAAAGGGCATATCTCTCAATGATCACACTTACTACTAGGCCCTACCTCCTAAAAACCCATGTAAAGTGTTAAAAGTGCTTTGGGCTGGTTGCCAAGCCTTTGACCCGGGGGCTTTGAAAGACATTTAAGATCTAAACTAGACTCTAGTCTAATCCTGTACAATTCCAAATGGAGCAAAGATATTAACATACCTGTGAAGCTGAAAGTCCTACAGGGAAACAGAAAAAAATCCAGAATTTTAATTTCTTAAATGGGATCTTATTTACCAGCAAATAAGGCTGGACAAATAGAATTTTTGTCATATTAAAAAGTTTCTGTCAAGCCCCACAACCGACAAAAAAAAAAGTTTCTGGGAGGGGGTAACAATGCTTGATAGGAAATGTACTCACTACCTTACTCATGTAACTGCAACCCCTCTGTGCAGCATCTTCATAATGAACTACAATTTAAAAAATTTCTGCACATCAACAGAAACTATTATCTGAATGTCGTGAAAACCTATAGAATTGGAGAAAATCTGCTAGTTATACAATACATAAAGGATTAATGTCCAGAGTATACAAAGAGCTCAAAAACGTAAACAGAAAAAGAACAAATAATTCAACAAGTAGGCAAATGAATTTGATACACAGTGCTCAGAAATACAAAGCTTAAAAAAAGAAATACAAAGTTCTATTTATTCATTTATGAAAACTTATGTAGTATACTACAATGTATAAAACATTTTCTCCTGTTTAATTTTATTTGCTTATTAGCAACCACCATGAGTCATATATCATTATTTTTTTATTATGTGAAAAGCAGATTTTTAGAATATGACATGGATGTTTTTCATGATGCAAAATCAATAACATGGCTAAAATTTGAATTCAGTGCAAATTATGGTTTTTTAAAATTTATTTTATTTTATTTTATTTTTTATTTATTTATTTTTGGGGTCCGGTCATGGGGCCTGAACTCTGGGCCTGGGTGCAGTCCCTCAGCTCTTTTAGCTCAAGGCTAGCGCTCTACCACTTGAGCCACAGCGCCACTTCCGGCTTTTTTCTTTTTGCTTATGTGGTGCTGGGGAATCGAACGCAGGGCCTCATGCATGCAAGGCAAGCACTCTACCACTGAGCCACCTCCCCAGCCCCAAATTTATTTAATTTTTTTTTTGTTGGTTGTGGGACCTGAACTCTGGGCATGAGCGCTATCCCTCAGCTCTTCAAGCTCAAGACTAGTGCCCTATAACTTGAGCCACAGTGCCATTTCTGGCTTTTTCTGCTTATGTGGTGTTCAGGAATCGAACCCAGGGACTTGTGCATATCAGCTAAGCACTCTACCACTGAGCCACCTTCCCAGCCCTGCAAATTATGTATTTTGAGCATAAATTACGTATTATTCTTTTTTATTGTATTGCATTGTATTGTAAAGGTGATATATAGTTACATAAGCAAGGTAATGAGTACATTTCTTTTTGAGCAATGTTATCCCTCCCTCATTTTCTCCTGCTTTTCCTCCCCCCCGCACCGACACCCCTTTTCCCAAAGCTATGTATTATTCGTACTTAAATTTTTTTATCTTAATTTTGTCTTTTCACCATACTAAAAATGAAAGCAGGAACATAATGACAAACTTGTTCTGTCATCTATAGAGAAGTGACTTCTGAAACGGAGGAATGTGACACGAAGATATTTCCACTGCGCCTTCAGGAGGAATTTTATCTGACAAGCAAAGGTTTGATGCATTTTGAGCACTTAGCTAAGAAGAGTAGAATATATTATATTGTCATTCTGGCTTTAGAAATGTTAATCAAATGAATGAGGGCAATTCACTAGTCACACTCCATAGCTGTTGAGAAGCTACGCTATTACGACCCTGATGAATTCCCCCACAGAGCCAATTACTTCAAGGAATGAAGGAGGCAAGGAGAAGTATCCCCTGTAGAACCTTAAGCCACCAAACTACCAGAAACTGGTATTTCCCAGAGAGGCCATGTCATCTCTGCTATTACAGGCCATTGTATAACAAAACCAGGATATGGAGAGAAAGTTAGAGCTGCAAAGATGAAATGATTCCTCTTGTCTGTGTCTTGATGATGTCTATGTTTACACAGGGTGTGTATCTTGATACTGACTTAGTTTTTATTTACTAAACCTACTTATAAGCCTCCTCAGACAATGGGTGTCCATTTCCCCAGGGGAACTGCCTTAGTTCTTTTTCTCAATACATAAACTGTAGTGTAGTACACATCAGAAAGAAGCATTCTATATAGTTTTTGCTATGTGTGCCCTTGAGACATAAGAATTCTCATAGGTAAAAGAATGAGAAAATTAGAATGTGTTTGGTTCACAAATGTGTAAACTGTGTATGGTTCACAATATAAATCATTATTTTCTTTTCTAATAATTGAATTTGTTTAACCACATATGGTATGAGCACAGCTTTAAGAAAAACTCTGTAACATATTTCCTCTGTCCCTTTCTTAGACACTGTGAAGATATTACTGACTTTTAGTTAAGCTCCTTCCTGTATTTGTAAGTGTATTTCACAATGTGCATTTAAAAAAATCCTCATTATTTAGTTTTTAATATTCCAAGCGGCAGTTTTTCTTCTGAAGCACTATGGCCTGTGAGATGAAGAGGAATGCTCCTGATAAAAAAAAAGTTGCCAAATTTGACAAGTAAAAATACACGTTGTCCATCAAAATGTGAAATTCAGATAAACAAGTGATCCTTGAGTATACATATACTTCAAATATTGCATGTTTGTTTAAGGGACATGCCTACATGATATGCAATACCATGCTACCACCTACATGAAACATTTTCTTGTGTTTGATTTGAAATTCAAATTTAACTTGCTATTTCAATTTTTATCTGACAATTTAAGCTGAGGCGAGTTTTACGAGTCTATAGAGACTATAGCTAGATTACATCAGAACAAGCAGCATGTTCATTAACTTTCTCGATTGGTAGAGTATGATCACAGCCTTTTCTCATAAGAAATGAATGACTTAGGAGGAAAATATGTGTAGCACCTCAGGGTTGATCCACTCTGACACCTCAGAATCAGAACAGGTGATAAGCTGTTTCTGTTTAGTAGTGCTTCATAAATCATGGCTTGACATTACTCACAGCTTTTACTGGAGGCATGCATTTTTAAATTGCTATTCTTTTTACTACTTCCCTATGGTGATTTCAAAACTCAATCTATAATTTTCTGTGTCTATTTAAATACTAGCATTTGTAATTTTTTGAGGACAGAAGTAGGCTTCAATGAGACAAAGGATAAGGCAAAATAAATCAAATATAATTGCCCTTGAAATCCATGAGAATAAAAAATCCATAAAATCCAACATGTTAAGGTAGAAAACACCTTGGGGACATCTTATCTATAAATCATGTCTCATGGTCCAACCATGGGAAATTTGAATAATATTGGTTAGGGAACAAATGAAAAAAAAAACCCTAAATTCTAAATGTTGAATTGCAAGTCTCCTAGACTTTGAAAATAACCTGCTTAGAAGCCTAAAATATTATGGTCAACAATGTTCACCAGTTTGACAGATGCTTTGATGGAGGAAGTCCGTTGCTCTGCATCACAGCTACACCACCATCTTCTGGCTTTACTTTTATGGAAGTTATTTTTTAAGTCCTAACTCCCCATCCCAGTTCCCATTTTTAAAAAGTGACAGGGTTTAAGAGTAAGGTGTGGAGACACCATTTCTCTCAAAATTCAGTAATACTGTGGTGTATTAATGAGGTTGGGACATTCTGAAAAGTAGTATCTAATTTCCTTCCTTATAGGTCTGGACTGGGCCTAGAAACACTCTTGTTAGTAGAACACAGCACAACTGACATGCTTGGAGTTTCTAGCCTATCTCATAAGAGGCTTTTAGGACTTGCAAGCAGGCCTCTTTAAATGCAGCATGACTGTACCAGACAGGCAAGACCTCTGACAGATTGCTAGAGTTGAGCTCAGTCTTCCAGTCAGAATCACCCAGTAAGTAGTCTTGTGAGTGAAGCCATGTGGCACTCCAGCCCAGCCTAGCTACCAACTGAACCAAACTGATACCTCAGAAAACAGAAGAACAGTCCAGCTACACCCTGCTGGGTTCTTGATCCATGAAATCCTGATGAGATGAAATGTTTTTATAGTAGTTGGTTACGCAGTAATAATAGCTCACCAGAACAGTGATGTGTTAATCTTGGATTGACTGTAAAAGCAAAAAGGGAAGAGAATTCTATAAAAAGAAAGAGATCAGAAATGCTCTTAAACATCAGTAAAAGAGGCCTGGGGATTTAGAGGACCTGCAGCAAGGTTCTAAGAAGTGAGAGTCATGGTTTAGTAGGATGTTATGATTTGGGGCAAACTTACAACTTTGGCCTAATTTCTTAAGGAACCAGAGAGACAGCAGGAGGAACGTTTTATGTCATGCAGAAGCTGCAAACAGTAGTGAATAAACATGACAAGTAAATCTGTAGCAAATGTCAGCTAAAAGTGCTAAATGTGTAAGAAACAATCTTTGTGCCTATTTAGAAGCTTCCATCAGGTGGTTTTAAATTACAGAAATCTCAGAAGCAAAGAACACAGAAAATACCAACAAAATTTTGATTTTTTTGTACTTTTATTGAAAAGGTACATTTAAAAAAATACACAGACATTTTACCATTTACAGATTGCAGATATAGATATTCTAAAAGAGTCCACTCTATTTTGTTGTTTTATTTTTACCACTTGCCCCTAACATCAAACATTCCAGTCTTGTTGACATCAGCTTAGAAAGGGGGTCGTGGGAGCATGACCTGCAACGTATGCAGTGAACAGAAAGACAAAGTGTTCAATTATAAACTTTTATATCTTCTGTACATTATTGCATTAGGGAGCCACAAAATTATGTAGCATCATTACAAATGAAAACAGATTAAAAATGAAGATCATTACGTAGAAGTACACGAATTTATTGTCTTCTTGCAGAATGCACAGGAGGTGCAACAATGTGCAATTCAGGAAGCTCTTTTTTTGTGTTTGTATACATTTGCTTAGCAACTCAAACTGGTGAGAAAGCTACAAAATAAGTTAAACAAAAATAGCAAACAGGTAGTAATTATAGCTATGTTATATGGCTTTCTATTTAGTTTTAAATATCTCCAAATAAAAGGTGAAATAAAGAAAATATTATCTTTTGCTCTCTTAAAGAGAAAATTGAAAGCTACGTTGCTTCCTAACAATTACACGGCAACTAAAAATGTTGAATTCAGACAAGAGATACGATCTAGTACTACACAGCATACAACAGTACTTGGGTCTAAAACAGTACACAATCCCTGTCAACAATAGTACACCAAAACGAAAAGATTGTGATTGGTTGGTAAAGTGATATCCACAAGTAAGCACTTGTGTTTTTGTTCCACACTAGAATATGCCCCGTTGGATTCCAGAGTTATATACAGACATCTGAGGAAAATCCTAGTTTTCAAGTCTGTCAGGAAAATATTCTAGATTGTTTCTCAGCCAGATCACACTCATGGGAGAAGGATGACTGATTTTCTTTTGCTCTCTTTTTCTGACCAATACATTTTCAAGGAACCCACTTATCTCAGATATACCAACTGAACAAGGGGAGGAGGAGGGAAGAGAGAGAGGAAGCCTATGCTGATCACATTCCTAACTACAGGAGCTGGCCATTAAAAAGCTCTCTTGAATCGAGTGATTTGTTTTTCTCTGGAGTTGGGGCCCTGTGGTAGGCTGCATTTTGTGGCTGGAGACTTGGTACTAAGTGCAACACAAAATGTTTCCACTACCAAATCCTTTTAGCTCTCCTTTATTTTCCCACTGGCCTCGACTGTCATGGGGCTTGCAGATGTTAGTATGGGGCGAAGAGAATGGAGGCAGGGGTGGCGCGGATGGGCCCGTGTCCTGGCCTCAGGAGAGCTGGAGGGATGGCAGGAGCTTGGAAGAGTGAGGCAGATGGCCGGGGTGGCAGTGACAGGGCAGAGGACACTGCTGCAGCAGCTGCCAAGGGTGAAGACAGGAAGGCTGGGGCCAAGGGCTTCATCATATCTTTCTGGAATGCAAGTTTTGCCTAGGAAGGGAGAGAAATGGGGCATGAGGTGAGGCTATTATTTTCATCAGCAAAACACCAAGTTAAGAAGTTTAGAAACTGAGAAGTCAGTATGTGACTGTTTTTCACAAAACTGGCTGCAGCATCTCTTTGCATAGCTTTACTTTGTTTTCATTTTGGAGCTTTTTTGAAAAATCTTTGATCCTCGAAGCTAGGGCAAAGGAAGCTTCTGAACAGACAGACAAGTGCCCAGCAAAGGCAAGGCGGAGGGACGGGCCCATCTGCTTCCTGCTGCTCAGTTCAGTGAGCTCAGTTCAAAAATGCAGATTTGTCTTAAACTACCACTTTGTCTAGAGACAGGTTTTATGTTTTCTTCCTTTCTTGTTTATTATTTCTTTCGGTGGAGTTGGGAGTTGTCCTTTTTGCTTTTTTTGTTTGTTTTGTAAGAGGTACTATCCTTTATTCTGTTTCTCTTATGTAAACTGCATTGAGGTGAGGTAACTGAAGTTTCAAACATTATGGTCCCATGCAGGATCCAGAAAACAAAGTTAATTATACTTCCTTTACTATCTACTTAATGAGATTTCTGTGAAAGACTGCAGCAAAATCAAATTCTGTGGAGTTGACTATAAATGGAGTAGAAACTTTCTCTAAAGGAATCCCAGTGTGGAATCTTCCTGTGAAGGAAGAAATCAATCCTTCAGTTCTCTTTTGCAATCAGGAGGAGCTGTGCAAGCTGGATTTGCTACATGCAGGCAAGTACCACCTGCTTCCAGCATTGATGCAGGCTTTGGAGAAGCTGGAAGGCAATCATACCATTGCCTCCAGCTGGTCCGTTTCAGTTCACCTTAGCGTGAACAGCTCACTGGCCTCAGCCCTAGAGAGACTGAAATCACTCATCTGGGTATTCCTATGACGTTGCTGCAGTCCCTAGGTGTCTTGGTGAAGAAATTGGAAACAGCATACACCAAGAACAGATAAGACTGGTAAATGTTAATATGCCCACTACAATGGAAATGGGGGTAGCACAAACACCACTTTCTTACATGCACATGCAGCACACACACAAGGATATTAAGTGAAGTTTTGTTTTATGAAAATAACTTTTCTTCCTAGTTTAACACATCTCAGAATTTTCAGGCATTATTTGTGTTTCTGAGCCTCTGCTTAACATGCTGAAGAAGGTAATCTTTGACATGGCCCTGATAAAGAGTAAGGTAATTAGCTTTTAATTAAAGTGGTTCACCCTCACAGGGTGTCGGGGAGCATGTCTGCAATACCAATGGCTTAAAAGGCTAAGACAGGAAAATCAAGTTTGACACCTTCCTGGGTATTTTAGTAAGACCCTGTTTCAATATAGATATAAAAAAAATTTGATGTGGTTCAGTGGTGGAGCATCTGCCTTGCATACAAAAGGCCCTGAGTTCAAGCTCCAGTCCAAAAGAAGATGTTCACCATATTCATCACCTTCTCTTATCCGAGGAGCCTTTCTTCAGGGTTCCTTCTAGAAGAAACTAAGCAGCTCATTATAAAATGTCTGTCTATGAGAACTAATGCAATTTAAAACTATGATTTTAGGAATGTGACTCAATGGTAGAATGCTTTCTTAGCATGTTGTAGAACCTGTTGATTGCTAGCACAACAGAAACAAACAAATGAATAAATAAATTCACCAACTTTTGTGACCATTAGTGCCTAAGCCCTCCCAAAAGCTATTGTCCAGCCCACCCTAAAAGATGTAAGCAAGGGAAACTTACTGCTAAAATGCTAGGGCTCCGCTGGAGTTTGTTGTAAGGGCTGTATTTCGGCTTCAGTGGTTTCCCTGCAACACGGTCTTTATGCCTTCTGCTAGAAATGTGCTGAAAAAAGTTTGCTATGTTAGCTGAATCCAAGACTATGATCTCTTAGATCGACATGGTGACTTTTCCCTTCCTAGCTCTAGGTCCACCATCAAAGTTTGAGTAAGGATCTTGTGATCTCTCAAGACTTGTATCCTCCCTTGATTGGAATGCTGTCTCTGATGTTCTCCATAGACTTACCACATTTTAACTGGTGTTACCATAGTAACTGATGACTGACTGTGTCTCCCTGGACTGATCTAGGGGCCCTTGGAATACAGGCTTTACATCTCATTTACGAAAGGGTTCCTGGACTGTAAGCTCTATCTGACTCTTGTTCCCTTCGAGTCTGACATAAAGGAATGCTCAGATACTGGGGACTGACATAGCATTTATACGTCAAACAGTTTGTGCAATTTGTAAAGGTTAATAATCTTAACTATAAGCATTGTGAGAACTATTCTATACATGAGGAGGAGGTAAAGACACCCAAGCGATGCCCTGAACAATAGTACATACTAATTAAGGGTACATTACCTGTTTGAGTTGAATTTCTGAATTAACATGAACATCACAGATTTCACAATGAAATGTCTTATTCTGTAGTCCTGACCCCTTACTGCCATTCTGCATCTTTAATCTTGATCCAGGTCTAGGATAGGACTTAATTGGACCAGCTCCATTACGAGCCTCAACCATGGTCTTGTGTTTAGATCCTACAATGAAAGAGTTATACACTAAGTAGTTTTGTAAGAACTATAGGAAGCTGTTAGTTTTCTTATTCTTGAGAAGCTTATATTCAGGTTAAGTTCTCAGTACTTTTGAAAGACAATCACTTTGATGATGGTTATAAATTTAATATACAGTGTTGTAAACATGGAAAACATAAAGAAATTTATATTTATATATAATGCAGAGAAGCAGAAAAATTACCTAAGTACCAAATGGTTGCCACCTAAAGGAAACCACTGTTATTAAGGTATGTTTTTTGGTAGACAGCGGACCCATGGTATTCATACGTATATGGTTTGACAGAGTCCATCTTTGATAAAAATCTACTGCAGATGCTTGGTTCATTTTTCCTATAATGTTATTCAAGGACATGCGCCTTTCAACAAACCTCAAATTTTTCCTTTATTTCTTAGATGAAGTACACATTTATTTTTGCCTTATTTTGGGGCACCATTTACTTTCACAAAACTGGGGGCAAGGAAACACTCAAAGTCTAAAGATGATTTAAAGAGAACTCGTGATAATGCAGGACTGAGAGCTTCTCCCCTTAACAGTTGAGCTGCAAAATGCATCTGTGAGGATATAAAACTTTTGTTTTAAAATTGCTAACTGTGATTTCAATTAATTAATTTTTTTTAACCACAGTTTGTCAAAATTGTGCAATACATTCGTGAATAAGGCAAGATTACTGTACTAAAAATGAGCCATCTCAAAATTAAATATCCTGGAAATTCTACATATCAAATCACATACACACCTTTTCTTTTTCTTCTTTTTTATTTCAGGAGATTCAGTTGGTCCTATTATGTATTCAAGGCAGACCCTGAACTTGTAATCCTTTTGCCTCTACATTCAAAGTGCTGGTGCTGGGATTATTGACATGCACCACAATTCCTGGTCTATGTACATATTTTTTATCAGTACATATTAATGGTTGAGTAATTTTATTGAATTAGGTACTTTATTTAGTTGGTATTTGCCTACTGATGGATTTTCAAGCTCTTTTTATTTTTTCTCCTGTGTGTGATTATTCTGCATAAAAATGTATCTTCATTTCTGTCGCAACACCAAAATGAGTTTTGGAAAATATATGATACGTTTGAGGAGATGAAGAATAGAACAGATTTTATCTCTAACCTGCTTTTGCTTCATTGCTTCCAAAGTTATTATGATCATACTTTTCAAAAAACCACTTTTCTGAGTTGAAAAAAGACACTGATCAAATGATGTCTGTACAGCAGTAGGTATGATCTTCTGATGGAAAGAGCTGCGTTTCGTTATAAACATTATTTAAATTCAAAGGATAGCTGCTAACCTGTGTTGTGTGCCTCTAGCTGTGACAGAGAGTTCACAGCCACTTTGCATAGGGAACAATAAAGTAACTTTTTGGCTTTTTCTTCTTCTGATTCAGCAACAGACCCCGGAGCTCCATTTGTGCTCTTGGAGGGCGAAGTGACGGCTCCAGGTTGCAGGGGTGTTGTGCCAGATTGGAGGAGAAATGAGCCACCATCAATACCTGATGACTGACTGGAACCATTGGCTTTTAACTTGCCTTTGTCTTCTAAGAGAGACATAGGAGGATGACATTAAAGATTCATATACCATACAAAGAGATAATTATGGAATAAAAAAACAGATATTTGGCATCTATATGAAACATACACATCGGGTATGTATAGTTTTTACTCTAGCATGTGTTGTAGTTTATAGAGTTTGATTTAAATATAATTCCATGCCCTCAGTTTCTATGTTAGGTCTCTTCAAGATCAGGATGACTTAGAATGACTTCCTCCCATTTGAAACAGGTTATTTTTTGTTTTGTTCCTTGAGTTGTAAGTTATACTCCAGGGAAATTTTTAACATACAGCAAAACCAGATGATCTTCAATGTTAGTTCTGTTTACAACTCATGTTTTAGTTATGGCAACTATATAAAGTTACAATTTAATTTTTTCACCAAGTTAGGTATGTGATAGAGGGGGAAGAAGAAGCATGGTTAATTTGGTCATGGTTACAGTTTTGCTGCTCTGAATGATGATGCAATTTTTCCAAAATGCAAGAGTCAAGAGTTTTATTCATTATACTTCTTAATTACTGACAGTGGAATTAGTTTTAAATAATAACAGCAACTATAAGTACACTATGAAGATTAGCCAAATTATTTAAAATCATCTTGGCATTTTGATCACATAGCTACCAAGTGCTTATAATCCTGAAGGCCCCATGTGCTGGCTATAAGGAGTCAGAGAATATAACTCATAGGAGTTATTTTCTATTCAAGATAGTCTCTGCCCAGTAGCTCCTTTAAGAAAGAAACCAGATTATTTGTAATATATGAGTCAAGCGGAAAAGGTCAGATAATGTGATGTCAGGAAAATGAACCCTTAGATGTGTATTTTAATGTTTTTTTTCTTTCATGCATGTGTTTCTAACACATTTATAAGATTATCTCTTTGTTGCTTTGTATGTCCCTCCTCCACAGTATAACCCCTGCTTTCACTATATTTGATGTCAGTATAACTTGTGGAGGAGATGGGGAAAAACCAGTTGTTTAAGGATACAGGTGGACCTGTTGCAACAATGAGAAGTACAAGTTGTCATGTCCAAAACGAGCTTTACAACGTTGGTGTGGGGCGGGGGGGGGGGGGGAAGGAGAAGGATTAGGATTAGGGGGGGAGGGGGGAGGCTGGGAAGGGATGTGAAGGATAAACAAAGGAGGAGGCTGCAATGCTTGGTAAGAAATGTACGCATTATCCTGCCCATGTAACTGTAACTCCTCTGTACAGTATGTTCACAAATTAAATTAAATTAAATTAAAAAAAAAAAAAAAGAAAGAAACCAGAACTTTGTAGGCAACAGCAAAAGCCATCTCATATTAAATTTCGTAGAGCAGGTACTCATCGAACATATCTACAGATATGCTAATTATATCTCATTAAGAAAGAGAAGTAAAAGTGAACAATATATTTATTAACTGTCCTAATTGAGAATTATATACCATTGGCTGGGATGACCAAGAGGGAAGGAATGACTAAATAATATCAATGTGATGTTTGTTCATGTTACTATGTTCTATCTATAAGAAAACCAAGGCTTTCTGCACTTACACAAATGGTGGGAGATCATAGTTTCACTTATATTGGTAACATGCACATATGTGTGTGTGTGTGTGTGTGTGTGTGTGTGTGTGTGTGTGTGTGTGTGTGTGTGTGTGTGTGTTCATTGACTGGGGATCAGCCCATTTCTGTCTATTTACCTGACCTGGATTAACCCACCCATGACATGGTAGATATAGTAAAGGTAATATAAATAGATTTTAGATCTGAGTGTTGTTTAGAATACATGTGTGCCAAGATCTTTTCTTAGTCTGGGCTTATATTGTACATTCTCTTTCAAGACACATATTAACACCCGAGATTACTATAAAATACAATAGAAATAGTCTTAGACTTTTTTAAAATCTTAGACTTTTATTAACACTGACCTTATCATTGTGAAAGAAAGAAAATTATTCTTAATTGGTAACAGTAAGTTAGATTGCAGATTATTTTAGGCCTGGAACTCTTTTATCTGTAAGGATCACCCAGGTTGAATTTGCAATTTTATAGAACTAGGAAAGCAGCAAAATTACTAAGCAATCATCATATTTACCCATTAAACTAAATGTTTAGTGATGGAAACAAATTATTATACATCAAAATATTTCCTTGCTTGATACATTTTATTTTTATCTAAAAAGTCCAACTAAGAAGTTTGATCTAAAAGAATGTGACCAATTTAGTAATTTTCTCTCGTATGGTTGTTTTTAATATTCCATTACTGTTCCTCAAACACCTTTCAAAAGTACCATTACTAGCTGGGTGCCAGTGGCTCATGCCTGTAATCCTAGCTACTAAAGAGGCTGAGATCTGAGGATTACGGTTCAGTGCCAGCCCGTGCAGGAAAGGAAGTGAGACTCTTATCTCCAATTAACCACCAGAAAACTGGAAGTGGCACTGTGGCTCAAGTGGTAGAGTGCTTGCCTTGAGCTGAAGAGCTCAGGGACAGTGCCCAAACCCAGAGTTCAAGCCCCACTACTGACCCCTCCCCCCAAAAAAGTTTCATTACTTACATTATCTTCTTACCACTCAAAACAAACTCATGGAATAGATATGGCTAAAATGGTTATGCCATTTCAATGAAGAAACTAAAGTTCATCAGAAAAACAAAATGTTCTACACCTTAGTAGGCAGCCTAAATAAGCATATTGTTTCCACTAACTGATTGCCATGTGGTACACTAATCTTTCCACACAAAGTTGGTAGGGGCTTAATATATCATTAATATTATACAACATATACCAGTCAATTGAAGTGCTTTGTTTACAACTGTAGTATAGCTTTTCTTGAAGTTTTAGCAAGAGTTTATTTTAATATAACAGAATATGGGGGTGGGAATGAGAGAGAGAGACACTAAGACAAAGAAAGAGACTCATAGAGACAGACACATATACACATAGACTTTTCCTATTCCACACAGGAAATGGAAATAAGGAATCCTGAAGTTTAGTTGGAAATAAGGAATCCTGAAGTTTAGTTGGAAATAAGGAATCCTGAAGTTTAGTTTTAAGGCATATTTTTCTTAAATGCCTACATCTATCCTGTCCAGTCATCATTTGATTAAGATTATATTGAGAAGATGTATAAAACTATATATTTTTCTAGGTCCAGCCATATCCCTGCAAATGGCATATTATTCTTTCTAATGAATGAGTAAAATTCCATTGTGTATATGTATCACATATTCTTGATACACTGATCTGTTGGAGAGCATCTAGGCTGTTTCCATAACTTAGCTATTGTGAATAATGCAACAATCAACAAAGTGCAAGTTAAGTGAATTAAGCCAGGCTCAGAGAGACAAACAGTGCATGTTTTCTCTCATACATGGAAGCTAGATCTAAAATACAACTAGGCATGCTAACATAAACAGAGCTTAAGATATTTATATACAAACAAACTGACTAAAGGAGGGTATATTTAGAGGAGGAACCCAAGGCATAATTCCTTTTAAAAACTAAAGTAACTTTTTCTCTAAACAAACAACAGGAAATTAAAACATGTTTTTGGGGGGTTGGCAAAGTGGGGTACAGGAATGAAGAGAGGAAAGGTGACCAAATGTGTTCATTGTATTCAATGTACACTATGTAAAAAATGAACTACATGAGTAGAGATGAGAAGGGGAAAATTAAAGAGAACAAAGAAAGAGTTGATATTATCCGAGAAACATTGTACTTATATCCTGACTAATGGAATTGTAACACCTTTGTACAACTATTTAATAACAGTAAAAGTTCTATATTTTTCTTCTTATCCCTATTTCATATCCCTATTTCCTTCTAAATATCTTTTTCAAAATAGACAATTTATTCACATATGCATGTTAACATTATGTTAATTGCGAACAATGTGCTGGTCACTGAAGAGAATAGTAAGAAAAGAAGGTATTGACTCTAAGAAAGCTGCAGTTTACCAGGGAAAATGAGATAGTCAGTGACATCTAACTTATAATAGAAACTACAGAGAGGCAGGATGGTATAGAGCAGAAAATGATTACATCTGTTTGGAAGAAAGGGGTATTTTTCTTTAAGGAAGTGGCATTTTGAAGGTCAGCCTTAGATACTCATAGAACAGAATTGAAAAGTTGTGTGATGTGAATGGGTAGAAGCAGAAACATGAGGATATGCTTAGGGCTAAAAATTCCATGGTTTTCTACCTGGTTGTTGAGCATGGAGCTGGCAACAGATGTCATGGGGAATATCACTACAAAGATCAATTGATCCAAAAGGCAGAAAATATTTTGGACCTATTAAAATATATACTAAGGATGCACATTTAAAAAATGTATTAGAGGTATAGTATGTTTTTTGGGGGGGGTGGTCCGGTCGTGGGGCCTGAACTCTGGGCCTGGGCACTGTCCCTCAGCTCTTCAGCTCAAGGCTAGCGCTCTACCACTTGAGCCACAGCTCCACTTCTTGCTTTTTTCTTTTTGCTTATGTGGTACTGAGGAATCGAACCCAGGGCCTCATGCATGCAAGGCAAGTGCTCTACCACTGAGCCACCTTCCCAGCCTCTACAGTATGTTTAAAATTTAATATTCCCTATTGTTTAGAAAAATTACATTTAAGTTTTTCTATCACATAGATTGGAATGTTTTAGAGTCAGACAGAACTTTTGGTTTTGGAAGTGTACAAATAATATCAACATATTTAGGAAATTCTGTTACTATAGTCAAACAGATTATAAAATCAGAAAAGTCACTGGAGCATTTATGTTTTAAATTGTGGCCTTCTTTCTGTATGTGTAAATTTCCAAACATCAAAGCCTAGTTTTATTTCTCTTCTCAATTACTTGATATTTTGATAAAAATCCACTATAATATTTCTTTTTTTTTTGTCAGTTGTGGGACTTGAACTCTGGGCCTAGGTGCTGTCCCTCAGTCTTCAGCTCTACCACTTGAGCCACAGGGCCATTTCCATTTTCCAGCCCATGCTGGCTTTGCACCGCAATCCTTAGATCTTAGC